CATCGTCTTGTGTGGTGAAAATGACTTCCAGCATCCATGGAAGCCATTGAAGAAGCTTGAAGGATTTCAAGAAGTGAAGATCCTTCCTTAGAAGCATGAAAGAAAAACTACATGAATTTAGTTTCTCATAGAGTTTCCATCAATGGTTTCATCAGTTTTGGTTGTGTACTTTCTATTATTTTGCTGCTAATGAACTATATTTATGCATAACTTTTAATGTTTCCTTTCCTTTTACTTCTTGGTTGGATCTATTGTTCATTTTGCATTGCCTTGCACTTTAATTATTTTTGTGATTTTGTGAGTTACAATCATAGTTGCGTGTGATAAATAATGATGATGCATGTTTGTTGCGTTTTGAAAGGCAAGATAAAAAGTGTTTTAGAAAAGTTTTTAGTGTTTCAAAATCATGTGAGGAAGCTCCTTTTAACTCCAAGCATGTTGTAGTGAGAGTTACCATTGATTTTGCTTCATGGTTGATGTGGCATAATCGTTTGAATGATTAATTACTTTGTTGTAAGCATAAAAGGGATCAAGCCCTTATTTTTGTTTTGTTGCAACTTTTTAGCCAGAAAGCCAACCTTATAGTATGATTTTCAATTGCAACCCCTTTAAGCCTAATGATGCACATTCCTTCTGTTACCTTGAGCCTAATGCTAAATAATACTCCCTTACCTTAAGGATAGGAGAAGAAAAGATGACAAGTTTAGGGGAAAATTGTTATAGATGAGGGAATTTTGAAATATGGCAAGAGAGCTAGTTGTGACCAATCATATGAAAGTAAAGTACACTTAAAGAGAGAGAGAGAGAGAGAGAACATATTAATTAGTGATTGCAAAAAGTAGCAAAAATAAATTGTAAATTTTTTTTTGTGCTTTAGGGAGATGTTGGATAGATCAAGTTTAAATCACCCTAATTGGTTGAGAGGGTTTGTTATGATTTCTCAACTTTGTTCTTCCATTCTATGGTGTCTACTTTCAAGAAAAACCAAATTTCTTTGTAGCCTACTCACATTTCAAGCTCATAAATTCTTCACCATTTGTGTGGTTCCAATGGCTACTTGTAGCTAAACCCCCACTTATTGGGATTGAGTGTAACTAGTTGAACCTCATGTATTAAATTTTCTTTATTAACGTATGTTGTGTTCCATTCATTAGTGTTTTCATTATTTCCTTAATGTTCTCTTGATTTATTATATCTTGATTTGAGTTATTTCTTTGGTTGTTATTTAAAAATGCTTCTTTAGCTATGTATGAGTTAAAATACACATTGAATGCCATGTTTAGGAATGAATATGAATCTCGATGGGCATTTGTGAACTAGCCATGTTTAGTGCTTGTATCTTAGTTAAGTCAGTCAAGGGATTGGAGATTTGAGTGAAATACATGGTATAACGTTCTTAAGGGATTAGAGCTTGGAGATTTTTTGTGGTAATGTCAATGTTTAGATGGAACATAGAGGAACACCTTTTATGAATTGATACATGATGGAAACTTAGTGAAATCCAATCCCAATAGTTCTTTTCATTTTATTTTATGTATTTATTCTCTTACGTGTTTGAAACAAACCTTAAAAGATAAATTTAATTCATTTGCTCATTTGATCGCTTTAGAGTTCATTTACGCAAAAACCCAACTTTAACAATTATAATTTCATTCTTTTGAGTTATAGTATAACATGTTGAGTTACATTTGCCATATATTATACAAGTTCTTTTGGGAGATAATCTTAAATTGAAAATACTACATACGATTTGGTATACTTACCAAACAATGACCGATTAGACATGATAGGTGAGTCCATGAGTGACTCTATGTCAAATAAATTGTATTAACGTATTATTGATTAGTTATAAAAATAATAACATTTTTAATTGGTTTGGTACTCAAATTATTAAAATTTTAAAATATAAATCAATAATCTAAACTAATTAAAGTTAACTTTATTTGATTATTTGATTTGGATCAAATTTAATTGGATAAAAAATGAACTATTTTAATTAGTTTGATTTAATTTATCAATTTTATCATATTATTTAAATCGATTAGTGTTTCACGGTGAAACCACCAACGAACATTTTATGGTAAAATTACTCATTTTCTAATTGTTAACTTCTCTAACCCCTATTGGTACAATAAAAGTAACAGAATTTGAGTAGAGGAAGAAAAAATGAATAAGAAATAAAATTAGAGAGTTGTTTACTTGATATGACTTATCTCATGTGAAAATTAAAAAGGTGTGAAATCTACACTTTTTTAATTGCCCACTAAGATGTGTGAAAATAGAGTTCAGAAACTACTATCAATGCACTTTTGTCAACTTTTTTCTAGCAGTTTAAACTTTAAAACAAAAACTGCCACTAACTTCTTTTTTAATATTTTTAAACACATATATGCACTTTTGAAACCACCAGAAAGTGTAAAACGATTAAAAAAATTGCAATCAATTAAAAGACATTTGCAGCGACAATTTTTTATATAATAAAAAATATTAAATAAAAATTATATTTCTTTCTTATTTTTCTTAAACTAAACAATTAAAATTTTGTTATATTTTTTTTTATCTATTTTTATCAAAAAAATTTCATTCTATTTCTTATTTATTTTTTTTCCTTCAAGCTAATTAAATACACTGTAAATATTAATTTTTCTAGCACAATTAGAATTATAATTGTTGACAATTACCGGTGCATCGTCAAATAAAGACAAATAGTATGGGAAAAAATTATTTATACCTATATATAAAAATAATTTTCTATTTATATATATATATATAATTTAGACTGTTTTATTCTTAAATTTTTAAATAATAAAAAATAATATTAAAAATTAACTATTCTTACAAATTCAAGACTTAAACTTGAAATCTCAAGGTTTTTGAAGGCTAAATATA